CTTCCCTAGAAAATTGTGGTAGAAACTGGAGATTTCTCTTGTTCCTTTAAGGTTTTTGAGTAGATTTGTAGCTCGGGTTGTGGATGTTGTGGTTGGTTGGCTTGCCTAGCTGGTTCGTTGTTCCACAGACGTTTCATCACCCTGCTGGGTAACATCATCAGTGCGGCCTCCGATGAAGCGCTGTTGTGTTTTTCCACCTGTTATTTAAACTCTGGTGTCTGTTGAGCTGGATTACCTCATTTCCTGTTATTCTTTCGCAGTGGAGTATATATGGGGTCTAGCTCTTTGTTTGTTGATGTAAGACAATAAAGTAGTGGAGAACCAGGCCTCTAGGAATTCCCGTGCTTGTCTCTGCTTGGCCTGTCCCAAGATCCTGGTGTTATCCCAATCAATTGTATACAGAAGTGAGTATGCTCATTCATTTCCATCCACATGGATAAGAAAAACCAACAGTTTGATTGGGACAACCCCAAGGTCCTGGGATAGCCCAAGCAGAGACAAGCACTGGAATTCCTAGAGGCCTGGTTCTCCACTAAGAAAGCCATCAATAAACACATAGAGCTAGACCCCGTACACACACCATTGCGAAGGAGACCAGAAGGGAGGTAATCGAGCTCAACGGACACCAGATTTTAAATAATAGGCAGGAAAACACAACAGAACTTCATCGGAGGCTGCACTGATGGTGTTACCCGGCAGGGTAATGAAACGTCTGTGGAACAATGAACCAGCTCGGTGAGCCAAACAACGACAACATCTCTTGCTGCTTGTCTGCTACTTTGAATTGACTGAGTGAGATGGCTGCAATAATGATAACGTTTTGCATTACTTTTATTAGATCTAGCTTGAATATAAAAAGAAGGGTGAGAAGAGTATGAGAACTATGAAAACATACCTTAAAATGCTTTATGTGAATTGTATTTTGTACGGTGTCTATTGAGGAACAGCTTTAATAATGCAGAGTTTCTGCTTGCAGATTCGGTTTTCCAGAGCAGCTGTGAAGTTGTGTCAAAAACAAGCTATGAAAAATTGAAGCAAGGCGTTGCTGTGCGTTTTCATGGTGAAGAAGGCATGGTATGTTACTGTACGTATTTTTAAATAAACTTGATTTAAAAAAAATACGTAGTTGTTCTAAAGAGATAAATACGTGACTGATTCAGATCATGCTAGTAGCAATATAGAAATATTTAAATCAATATTGCGATTATTTGGTAATGCTGAAAAACTCAAAGGTTATTCTCTAAAATTGTGAAGATCTTTTGAGACATCCTTGAATGAGTTTTGTTCTGTAATACTAGAAAGCATGAATTGTGTTTTGTCCCAGGTCCATTTGCTAATTCATTTCAACATTATCAGTGGACTAACACATTTTTGTTGAGCAAATTATTTTGTTTTGTATTGATATATTGCATTCCACTTGAATCCTGTGAGGAGATTTTCTTAAAGTTGACCGGGTCAAAATGTCAAACGGAAGTATGAATGCGCGCTATGTGGGGGTCGAGAATGGGAGCTAGACAATAACGAAAAGAAATTTTGAAATCAAATGGAATTGTTTGAAATGTATCTGCATGTTTAACCATGTTTATTAGTTTCTTTTTGACTATTGTCACTGCAGACCTATAAAATATTGTTTTACTTTCGTTCCCAATGAATCCACTTAAGATTTGTAGTAAAGTTTTCAATTTCTGTGGCAGTTTATTTCTAGTTCTCACAACATGGTGTGGAGAAGTGCTGTGTGGATTCCTGGTGCCCTAGATGTGTAGATTCCCTAATGGTCAGTGCAAGGGAGGAGAGTACATGTAAACGAAGATACAAAATAACTGGGAGAATTAGTTATTGTCATTCACATCTAAAGTGACCAGCTCTAAATGATATTGAGAGAGGCTTGCAATAAATTTGGTTGTGAAACACTTTTTGGCATATAGTCGGGAGAGATCGGGGAATGGACAGCAAAACTTCAGCGTCTGTATACCTTAAAAATGACTAGTATGGTATGTTTTCAGTTTTGTTCCTTTTTCTATATTCAGGGTCAAGGTGTGGTACGTGAATGGTTCGACATCCTTTCCAGTGAGATAATTAATCCAGACTATGCGCTTTTCACTCAGTCAGCTGATGGTATGTGACCCCTGTGCATTCGCAAGGAAATGGTTTTATGTACAGAGTCAATTTGAGACCCTTAAAATACAAAACTGGAATCTTTTCCATTTTGCTTTCAGTTCAAATTGTTGATTTTATTGTGCAATGCAAACTGAATTTTTTATATACTGCCTTTTAATATGTATATAGCATAAGGTACATCTCTGTTCTTACAGGAACCACCTTCCAGCCCAACAGTAATTCTTCTGTGAATCCAGATCACCTAAATTATTTTCGGTTTGCAGGGCAAATTCTAGGTTTGGCACTTTATCACCGACAGTTGGTTAACATCTACTTTACACGGTCATTCTACAAACATATCCTTGGTAAGAATTGTTTAAGTCACAAATTTATATTTTGATTCATGCAATTTTTCTTCGGTTTCCTATAATAACATTGGACTGGGATAAAGCTGTACATTAGTTACACTGTGAATGGTTCATTTTTGAGACTTTGATCTAGAGGGATGCTGGACAGAGGACGGAAATGTATTAATGTAGGGGATGCAAGAAAATTGCGTTTGAAATCAGAAGGGAGAAAGAAAAAGTTCTGACTAAATATAAAATAGGATCAGGAGGAGAACCTATGGATCCCAGAGCTTACTCCCTAGTCCCGGTATCCCTCGATCCAGAACCCTTGGGTGGATGAATCCAAAAATTCACAAACCCCTGAGTTTCCACTCATTTCAATTCTAAATTATCAAATTCCTATCCTGAGACTGTGCCCAATTTCAGATTGTAATCTTTCTTTCTTTCTTTCTTTCTTTCTTTCTTTCTTTCTTTCTTTCTTTCTTTCTTTCTTTCTTTCTTTCTCTCTTTCTTTCTCTCTTTCTTTCTTTCTCTCTTTCTTTCTTTCTCTCTTTCTTTCTTTCTCTCTTTCTTTCTTTCTCTCTTTCTTTCTTTCTCTCTTTCTTTCTTTCTTTCTCTGCTTTCTTTCCCTCTTCCCCTTCCCATCCCCTCCCATACGCTCTCCACTCCCACTTTGTTTCCTTTTCTTTGCATGGGAACAGGTGAATAAAGGATAAAGACAATGGAAATAAAATGAGGTGTGTTTACAAGAATAGCTAGCAAGGCAAGATAAAAATCAAGAAGCATCTATTTCTCTACAGGATCTAGTATTGGAAAAAATCAGAAATCATCAGTTAACTTTGAACATAGTCCCCACAGTGGCTGAAGGTGTGGTCATTTTGCTTGTGTATACAGGGATTTGGTTTTTGTTATATATTTAATATATTTCTTGCTTGGTCTTTCAAATATTTGCATTAAATCGCTGCAGCACTTGCGCTACGGATTTTTCTGATGTCCGTACATGTTTTTCAGGTATCCCTGTAAACTACCAAGATGTAGCCTCCATTGACCCTGAGTATGCTAAAAATCTTCAGTGGATTCTGGACAATGATATTAGTGACCTTGGCCTAGAACTTACATTTTCTGTTGAGACTGATGTATTTGGTGCAATGGAAGAGGTGCCTTTGAAACCTGGGGGAATAAGTATACTTGTCACCCAGGAAAATAAGGTAAGTTAATCTTTAATCTTTTCCCTGCTATATTATTTAAGCAGCCCCTTTTTATATGAGAGTTTGGCACTGCGCTCCAATGACTATTTCATTACAAAGTGGGATTAGAAATCCAGCTGAGCAAACCTTTTCATGGGGCAACATACATGGTTTCAGAAGTTTTGATGTCAACTGCATACTGACCTGAGTCAGCATTTTAATATGCAGTTTCAATTAAGAGTTTTGTCGTTTTTTTTTAAAAAAATGTTGCCTGCCTGATAGCTCATCAACAGTTAGATTTAATGCTATCAGTCATACGGCAACAGAAGCATTGTTTCTGTATACTGATTTCACAATTACTAGATCTAAAATATATTAAATACTGTACCATTTTTAACATGATTCTTCATGCATCTGGAATTTTTTTTAGCAGAAGTATGCATTATACTTAGTTATGATTAACAGTACTTTTGGACAAACACATTTTGGTACAGGAATTGTGACTACAGTAAAGAAGTAATATGCATGATAAGACTCAGCTGAATGACCTTTCTTATCAAAGACTTCGTTCTTCGGATACATTGCTCTCTATCTGTGCTTGTAAGTTGGATCTAATTTAGTTAAATATCATTAACTTTGTGATCTTGACTGAACAGCCTGCTAACTGTGATTGGAAAAAGTAATTTCATCATAATGCCTTTTGTATAAAATTTTGAAGATGATAGGTTTATTTTTTTTTAAATTTATTTTGTCCAATTGACTTTTGTTCGTTGAAGTAAATCTGAAACCTTGTGTGAATATCTCTAGGTGACTAATTACCATGTGAACTAACTTAAAAAAAAATCAGGTCAAGTTTCACACTGGGTTCTGACTTGTTGAATAGTGCCCTTAGTTGGGATCATAAAAGTATAAACTGAGGAAAGAAAAGTTAATTGTCAGTGCAAAATTGCAATCTCGGACTAATTCCAAACACAACATGTTGATGTTGATGTTGATATTGATATAATGTTGGGTCACTTCTGAAACATTGATATCAGAATTAGATGTGTGATAGCTTTCAGTAGTTTCTTTTTGCATGTAAATGTAGTTTAACACTGCCTAAGGAACTGGTATTAAATTCAGGAAACCTATATATTCTATATGCTGTCATTAAGGCAACTGATGGCTGCAGAACAGCTAATGAAGTGTCAGGATTTCTAAAAATTTTCTCCTATTTGTTCTCTCCAAACCCCAAAACCCCAGGACCATGAGCACAAATCACCTTCACTCTGCTTCATCGTACTGAAGTATAGACTTGTTGCATGGCATGTTGGAGGCATGAACTGCAATGTATCTCTGCTTCGTCATGTTTTGTACAGATTTGCAACTTATCTGTCTACTTGTTTGAAGTCTTTTAACAAAGATTTGGATTGTTATTATAGCATGCTCATTCTATAAAGTACTTATTGTGAATTTTCTAAATTAGGAGAGTTTGGACATCTGCAGGCTATGAGAACGGGGAGTTTAGGCATTCAAATTTGTGGAATGTTCATTAGCAGACTTGGAAAGGACTTATCGAATTGTTTTCACAGACCACAGCATCGCATTCTGAAATGCATTGACTTACCACCAGTTACATTTGTGATATAACAAGGTGTAGAGGTGGGGTCCAGACCCGAAACATCAGCTTTGATGCTGCTCGGCTTGCTGTGTTCATCCAGCTGTACACCTTGTTATCTCAGATTCTCCAGCATCGGCAGTTCCCACTATCTCTACATATGTGATATGTTAGTTTTATGTTAAGTGATGCTTTAACAAGTTCACTAGTTTGTGAGCATCCCTCGGTTCAGAAACTTGAATATTCATCACCAAGGATGGGTTGGTGGTACCACAACTGATCAAGCTGGCTGAGTCCTAAAGTAGAGTTGCTAAGCTGTGCCTGGGACATGATGCAGGAACCAGAGGGAAACCGTTTACTTGCCACAGTCCTCATTGCGAATGCATCCATCTGTGACAGTATCAATAGCAGTGACCACCACACAGTCCTTGTGGAGATTAAGTCTCTTCTTCACATTGTGAACATTTTGGAAGATATCTTCAATGACAGGATCACTGAATTGTCATGGCACAGAAGGAGATAGTTTGGCCCATTGTTTCTACACAAGCTTTCAGCATCTCAGAATTGTGGAATTCTTATGGTGCAGAAGGAGGCCATTTGGCCAAACATGTCTGCAGTGGCTCTTCATACAAGCATCATTACCTATTGCCAAACTCCTGCTTTTACTGTATACCCTTGCACACTATTTCTGTCCAAATAATCATTCAACGTCTTCTTGAATGCCTCAGTTGAACCTGCTTTTATCACATTTCCAGGTAGTGCATTCCATACTGTAACAAGTCGCTGAGTGAGAATATTTTTTCCTCACATCACCTGTACTTCTTTTGCACATCACTTTAAATCTATGCCCCCTCGTTCATATTCCATCTGAGTGGAGACAGCTTCCCTTATCTACTCTTGCAAAACCACTCATGGTTTTGAAAATCTTTATTAAATCTCCTTTCAACCTTTTTTTTCCCAAGAATATTCCCAATTTATTCAATCTATCCTCTTAACTGAAGTTTCTCATTCCTGTAACCATTCTTGTAAATTGCTTCTGCACTTTGTCCTTCTCCAAGTTTGAGCCGGAGGCTGAATACCCGACAAGGTGATGTATGAGGGCTTGGTTGGGTGGAGAGGTATTACAGTGGTATGAGGTGTAAATTCTCTGCAAGAGATTAAGGGGAGATTAATGGGATTATAGTGGAAAGGCACTGGCAAGTGTACAAAGAACACATGGTGAACTGCAGCAATTATTCATTACTGTTTTGTGCAAAAGAACAACAGGAAAGGTGGCCAAATCATGGTTGCAAGGGAAATCAGAGATAGTATTAGATCCAAGAAAGAGGCATACAACTTGGCTAGAGGGGAAAAAAGAATTGAGGAGTATGAGCACTTTAGAATCTAGCAGTGGAGGACAAAGAGATTTGATTGATTGATTGATTAAGGAAGGGGAAATGGAGGATGAGAATAAACTTGTGGGCTACATAAAAACTGAATACAGAAGTTTCTGTAGAGATGTGAAGAAAAGGCAGACCACGCAGACACTGCACTGAATTGGAAACACTGCTGTAAGAAAATCTCCTGAATAATTCCGGGAATACTTGTCCCATGCTGTCCCTTGCAATAGCAATATTCCAGTTTATATTTCGGCAATTGAACTCCCCCCACTATTGTAACTATTCTTTATAGTTTACATTTCTGTGTAATTTTCCTGCAGATTTGCTCCTCAAAATTCTTTCCTGCAGTTGGTGAGCAATGCATTTGTACCATTTTTAATCCTGAATTTGAGCCAATTGACTCTGTCTTTGAACTCTCTGAGATATCCACAAGATGGATGAGGTGGATTGGCCATGGGAAATGCAGAGTTACAGGGATATAGGGTAGGGCAGTGGGTCTAGGTGGGGTGCACTTTGGAGGGTTGATGTGGATCTGTTGGGTCAAATGGCCTGCAGAGTTAAGAGTCAGTAGAACATTGAATGGCACTGCCATCAGTGAATTCCCCATTATCAACACTTGGGGTAACCATTGACCAGAAACTGAACTAAACCAGTGAAATAAATACTGTGGCTACAAGAGCATTTCACTGTGATTAGCTTGTATTCTATCTCCAAATGGTTGTCCATTATCAGACACAAGTGAGGAGTATGATGGAATTTTCTCTGCTTGCCTGGAAGAGTGCAGCTCCAGCAACGCTTAAGCTTTGACATGTAGGACAGGACAGCCCACTTGATTGGCATCACATCTACCATCTTCAGTATTCAATTACTTCACCACAGATGTGCAGTGACAGCAGTGTGTACCATCTACATGATTCACTGCAATAATTCACTATGTCTCCTCTGGCAGCACCTTCCAAACCTGTGATCTCTACCACAGAAGGACATGTGCAGCAGATGCATGGGAGCACCACCGCTTCTAAGTTTCGAGCCACATATGACCCTCACTTAGAACTATATCCTACTCCTTCACTCCAAGATCAAAATCCTGAAACACTCTTGTTTACAGCACTGCACCTTGAGGACTCCAGCAATTCAAAAGAAGACAGCTCACCAGTACCATCTCTAGGGCAATTAGGAATGCCTTGGCCTAACTAGTGCTGCCCACATCCCTGAACAGATTAAAAAAAGGCATTTTGATGTCAAGTCTCCCAAGGAGATATTAGGCCAGGGGCAGGTAGTAGCCTTGTTATATTATCACTAGACCAATAATCCAGAGATCCAGGTAATGTTCCAGGGACCAGGTTCGAATCCTGCTGTAGCTCAAAGTGGAATTTGAATTCTGTAAAAATCTGGAATTAAGAGTCTAACGAAACTGTTCTGGTTTGTTGGAAAAACCCATCTGGTTCACTAATATCCTTTTAGGGAAGGAAATCTGCCATCCTTACCTGGTCCAGCCTGCATGTGACTCCAGACCCACAGCAATGTGGTTGACTCTTAACTATCCTCCAGCCAACTACGGATGGACAATAAATGCTGGTGTAGCCAGCAATGCCCACCTGCCATGAAAGAATGAAAAAAGTGACCAAAGCTTGTTGAAAAGTACTTTTCAAGGAGAGAAAGACGCGGTAAAGAGATTTACAATGAGAATTTCAGGGCTTTGGCAGCTAAAGGCATGGCTGCTGTTGGTGGAGCAATTAAAATCCAGAAATCTCAAGTTGTCAAATTGGTGGAGTGCAGAGAAATCAATGGTGTTTTAATTGTTAAAGTGAGGACTGCATATCCAAAAGTGAGGTGTTTTGCCAAAGTGTGGTAAGAATTTCTATTGTCATTTTTTTTTCTCCGAATAAGATGTGCTTTTAGGAAGGTTACTTGTGTTTGCTGTTTCTAGTAAAGCTCTAAATTTGTTCTTTTTAAATACTGTTTCTGGTATGAGTGATACCGAGCACAAGGAATTTTCATAGATGTATTTTGTGATGATCCTGATTGACGACAGCCCTCTCCTCCACTCTTACCCCCCATCAGATCCTGCCCCTTTGTCCACCACCTCTGCCACTCCAAAGTATGTATCTCGGTCCACAATTTGGTAATATCTGTACTTCATCCATTTCTGAACTATTATTGGGTGCCCTTTTAATTCACTGCTACCATTTGAATCTTTCTGTTCTGATGTAGGATTTATGTATAAATTAAATGACAGGTACCATAAGAAATAGGAATAGGAGTACGCCATTTGGCCCTTCATCTGTGATCCAACATTCTTCATGTCCACTTTCCTGCCCTTTCACCACAACCCTTGATTCCCTTACTGACCAAGAATCTCTCGATCACAGCTTTAAATATACAGGAGGACTTCAAATATACAGCCCCCACAGCTATCTGTGACAAGGAATTTCAAAGACTCTCAACCCTTGGAAAAAGAATTCCTCCTCACCTCAGTCTTAAATTGGGCACCCCTTAAATCTGAGACCATGCCCCCGGTCCTAGACACTCCCATGAGGGGCAACTCCCTCTCAGCATTTACCCTATCAAGCCCCTTAAGAATCTTTTCAATAAGCTCACCTCTCATTCTTCTAATCTGTCTTGAGTAGGGCCCCAGCCTGTTGACTACCAGCGCTCATCCTAGTGAACCTTCTCTGAACTGCCTCAAATGAAACAACATCTCCCTTTAAATAAGGGGACCAGAACTGCTCAGTTTTCCATAATGTAACATGGCAGTAAGACTTCCCCACTCTTTTTTTTATTCCAACCCCCTTGAAATAAGAGCCAACACTCCATTAGCCTTCCTGACTACCCGCTGTATCTGTGTGCTAGCTTTGTGTTTCATGCATAATTATCCCAAAGTCCCTTTGTGTGCAACTTTTTGCAGTTTTTCTCCATTTAAATACTACTCTTCTATTGTTCTTCCTTTTAAAAGGAACAACTTTTCATTTTCCACTGTTATACTCCGTTTCCTAACTTTTTGACAACTTACTTAACCTATCACTATCGCTCTGTAAACTGTTTGTATCCCTTATACAAGCTGCCTTTATACTTATTTTAGCGTCATCGCAAATTCAGCTACAGTACATTTACTTCCTCCTACTACCTCATAACAGAATGAACTGGCAGCTAAAGGAGTGTGCAGAGTTTCCAAAACTTTGAGGCTTCCATGCTAAGGTTTCAATAAGACCTAGTCGTGTGAAATAGATTTAATAGTTCAGAATATTTTTAGTAGGTGCCATCTTTAAAAGTGCTTTCCAAATAAAGCTTTTGGTAACTTGTTTCTCTGCCTTTCCAGAAGTGTTTTTAAATGAGTTGCAAGGAGTTCGTATTTAAATGTGTCAACTAGATAGTTGGCAATCTCTGCAACAATCATTTATTTCACTTAAATGTTTTGGTAAAATAGTGTATTTTTTGAACATTAAATGGCTAACTTTCTCTTCAGGATGAATATGTCCAGCTTGTTACTGAATTACGAATGACTCGTGCTATTCAGCCTCAGATAAATGCATTTCTGCAAGGCTTCCATCTGTTCATTCCACCCTCCCTCATTCAGCTTTTTGATGAATATGAGCTGGTAAGAACTCTAGTATATACTGAACACTGAATGTTGGTGCTGATTAATACTGTGCCTGCGACTGTAGAGATGGAAAATGGTAGAAATGAGGAATTATCAGATTTCTGAGCTGCTTTCTCAATATAACATGCAGAATTCCCATGATTTTGTTAGAAATGAAAAAGTATTTTATAGTTCGGTCAGAATGCATGATAATACTGAACTTGCACTGATATTTTTTATCTGATCTATATTGTGATCATTGGAATGATCAATATAATGTTGTTTCAGCTAATGTGGAAAGCAAGAAATAAAGCCACCCTGTAATTGCTCTCTGAAGAAGCTAAACAGATAAACACAATGATATTAATGATATTGCAGGGTAAAGTAGCACAACAATTAAATTACTGGGCTAGTAATCAGCGGTCTAGGCTAATGAACCTAAGTTCTGAGCTGAGATTCCACATGGCCAGCTGAAAAGTTCAAATTCTGTTGATGAAATAGATTTGGAGCAAAAAGCTGGTAACAGTACAGGTGTCCACGAAACAAGTTGTTGTGTTTAAAAACTATTAGATTTGACAGTAGGCTGTCTTTGTTTATGCTGCAACATGAGGGGCAGGATTTCCTGCATATTTGCAGTATTAGTCAATACCTGCTTCAAGAAGACCACCATCATCTCAGTACCTAAGAAAGCACAATGCAGTGTGCCTTAATGACTACTGCCCAGTGGCTCTGACCTCAATAATCATGAAGTGCTTTGAGAGGCTGGTCATGACCCACATCAAATCCAGTCTCCCAGCCTGCCTCGATCCCCTACAATTTGACTACTGACGTAACAGGTCCACAGTGGATGCCATATCCCTCACACTGCAGTCATCCCTGGAAAATCTGGACAACAAGGACACCGACATCAGACTCCTGCTCATTGACTACAGCTCCGCCTTCAATGCCATTATCCCCTCCGGACTCATCTCAAAACTCCGAGACATTGGTCTCGGCTCCACCCTCTACAATTGGATCCTCAGCTTTCTAACCCACAGACTGCAATCAGTGAAGATTGGTAACTGCACCTACTCCACGGTAACAGTCAACACTGTAGCTCCCCCTCAAGGATGTGTTCTCAGCCCCTGACTGTATTCCCTGTACACCCACGACTGTGTTGCTAAATTCTGAATGAATGCCATCGACCAGTTCGTTGATGACACCACCATGGTAGGACAGATATCTAACAATGAAGAGTCAAAATACAGAAGCGAGATAGAGGGCTTGGTGATTGGTGCGACGAGAACAACCTCTTTCTCGATGTTGGCAAAACTAAAGAACTGATGATTGACTTCAGAAAGAAGGGATGAGGCCATGCCTCCATCTACATCAATGGAACTGAGGTTGAGAGGGTGGATTGTGTCAAGTTCCTTGGAGTGATGATAACTGACAACTTGTCTTGGACTTCCCACGTAGATGTGATGGTCAAGAAGGCACAGCAACGCCTCTTCTTCCTCAGGAAATTTGGCGTGTCCATAGGGACCCTCACCAACTTCTACAGATGCTCCATTCTGTCTGGGTGCATGATGGCCTGGTATGGCAACTGCTCTGCCCAGGACTGTACGAAACTACAGATAGTTGTGTACACAGCCCAGAACATCATGGAAGCCAAACTTCCATCCGTGGGCTCCATTTACACAGCTCATTGCCGTGGAAAAGCTGCCAACTTCAAAGAACCGTTGCGTCCTGATAATGATCTCCTACAATCTCTTCTGTCAGGCAGAAGATACAGAAGCTTGAACACACGCACCAGCAGGTTCAGGAACAGCTTCTTCCCAGCCGTTATACTGATGAATGGACTCTCTAGCCTCAATGCTGATCTCACCTAGTGCCACGCCTTGTGCAATATAACATGTATGCTTCTAAGTTGTTTTTTTTAAGCAACTTTTTGATCTTTACATCTTTGCTTACTATGATTTGCCTGTACTGCTCATAAACAGCTTTTTCACTGTACTCTGGTACACATGATAAATTTGTCCATCAATCAGTGTCTGCTGGCAGCAGTAAAATCAACAAGTTGGCCTACATAAGAATGTAAAAAAATAGGAGCAGTGGAGCAGTAGACCATTCAGCCTTCTGAACATGCTCCACAATTTAATGAAACCATTGCTGATCTTCTACTTGAACATTATTTTCTTTACTATCCCTGTTCCCCTTGATGTATCCACCACGCAAAAAATCTATCAATCCTGGTCTTGAACATACTCAACAACTGAGCCTCCACAGTTCTTTGGGGCAGAAACCTCCAAAGTTTAACCATCCCCAAGGATAAAAATTCCCTCCTTCTCTTGGTTCTAAATGACCTACTCCTTATTTTGAGATTGTCTTCCCCAGTTCTGAACTTTCCTTATTCTCCGTAACCTCAGAACTTTTGATCTACATCACCCCTATGAGTCTTCCTAAATCTGCCTTGTTAATCCCCAGAAGAATTTTGTATATTTAAATGAGATCTCTTCTTGGGGAATAAAGGCAAAGTCTGCTTTATCCTTCATCCCTCCATCCATGGAATTCGTAATTTGCAACTTTGTTGCACTCCCTCTCTGGCAACTATTTCTACAGTTGAGTAAAGATGCACCAAAACTGGATGCAGTGTTCCATTTGTCTAAACAAGGTTTTCTGTAATTGCAGTGAGACATTTTTTTTTGCTGCTTTAATCAAATCCTCTTTTATTAAAGGCAAACATTCCATTGCCACCTTAATTGGTCACAGTACCTGCTTGACAACTTGTAGTAACTCATGACCCCTCAAGGGATTCCAGTCCCTTTGAAATTCAGTGCCTTCCGATCTCTCACTTAAGCCATTCACTGTTTTTGTTTTTGCTATCAAAGTGGATAATCCCACGTTTCTCCGCATTGTATTCCATCTGCCAAATGTTTGCCTATTCACTTAGTCTTGAAGCCTCCTTGCATCTCCTCAACTCTCACTGCCAGCTAGTTTGTCATGTGCTACTTTGGACATATCATGCTTGATTTCCCCCATCCAAATCATTGATATTGATTGTGCCCAGGCATTCATCCTAATGGTACACCACTAGTTAAGCCTGCCAACCTTAAAGTTACCCATTTATTCCTGCTGTATCTTTTGTACATTAACCACTTCTCAATCCATGCTAGTAATTCCTCCTATCTATTCTGCTAGTTACATCCTCAAACAAGATTGTCAGACATGATTTCTCATTCATAAATCCATGTTGATTTTGCCCAATCCTACCATTATTTTCTAAGTTTCTGTAATATCACTTATGAAATTTTAGCATTTTCTGTATGCCTGTTAATTTAGCAGTTAAGATCTGCAGTGCTCTATTGTCTCAGTCTCTCCTTAACTCAGTCTTATTTTCTACCTTCCAAACTACAAGAACTATTCCAAAGTTTGGAAAGTGCATCCACTGTTTCTACAGCTAATTCTTTCTTGGGCTGAAAAGTGGAACGTAACATTTATGCCACACAAATATCAGATGATGCCCATCTCTGAGAAATAGCCTAACCATGATTTCTTGACACTCAATGATTTCGCCATGAATATGGTGACTACAAAGGCAGGCCAGAGGCCAGGAAAAGAACAGAAGTTGCTGGAAAAGCTGAGCAGGTCTGGCAGCATCTGTGAAGAAAATGTCAGAGTTAACGTTTCGGGTCCGGTGACCCTTCCTCAGAACTGATGGTAGCTGGGAAAACATTGGTTTATATGCAGAAATAGGGAGGGCGATGGGGTAGAGGAGAGCAGTTAGATAGACAAAGGAGTTGTTAATGATCTGGCTAGAAGGGTGAATAGCTGTTGATGGGGACTGTTAGTGATTAACAATGGGTATTGTGTAATAGCAGGCTATGTGATAACAAGGCTTGGTATGTAGGGTAGGGGACTAAGACATGGGAGAGTTTAGGCCCTAAAGTGATTGAACAGGATATTGAGTCCGGAGGCCTGCAGGGTCCCCAAGCGGAAAATGAGGTGCTGCTCTTCCAGCTTGTGTTGAGCTTCGCTGGAACATTGCAGCAAGCCAGAGACAGAGATGTTGGCCAGGGAACAGGGTGGTGCGTTAAAGTGGCAGGGAACAGGTAGCTCAGGATGTTTTTTGTGAGCAGAACATAGATGCTCTGCGAAGCGGTCACCCAGTCTACCCAAAGGCCAGGAATACTGCAACTAGTAACGCTCCTCCTGACCCTCTCATGCCTGGATGAGTGCGACTCCAGCAACGCTTATGAAGCTTGATTGTTTGATTGGCACCACATCCATTGACATCGACATCCACTCCCTCAGCTACTGACATTGAGTAGCAGCAAGATCTACAAGATGCACTGCAGGAATTCCCAAAAGATCCTCAAAGCACATTCCAAACCCATGACCTCTACCCTCTAGAAGGACAAGGGCAGTAGATACATGGGAACTACATCACCTGCACATTCCTCTCCAAGCCACTCACCATCCTGATTTGTAGAGGAATGGTGAGATATTTCCTGTGGCAGGGTCAAAATCATTAACAGCATTGTGGGTATACCTACAACACATGGACTACAGCAGTTCAAGAAGGCAGCTCACGATCACCTTCTCAGTGGCATCTAGGGATGGGCAATAAATGCTGGCCAACCAGTGGTTCCCATGTCCCTTAAGTGAATAACAAGAACATTGTCTGAAATGCAGAGGATCCGGTCTAATGGATTTAAGTCCCATTAAATTTTTCCAGTACTTTTTAAAAAAAAATCACTAATATTTTGCAGTTTTTCATCCACACTCGACCATTGTTTATTTCTCAGATTTTTTTTTAGCGTTTTCCTGTAGTTTTTCTGCCACTTCCTTATTCTCCATTATAAATTGTGTCATAACAGACCCAAATTTGTTTCTGCTAGTTGTGCTAAGTTTGAAGCATGCTAATCATTTGAAATTCAAGTTTAATGTTTTCGGATCTCTGCGATCCAATTACAAGTTCTTGTATCTAGTTTACTTAGAACTTTTTATTAAGTTATTAACTGCTCCCAATGCAAAACATGCTTTTGACAATTCATAATCAAGAAATTTGAATAAATGAGTGTCTCAACTTCCATTGAACTCACACTACGTTTGAATTATTGTCATTTTTTAAAAACCAATAAAGGGATTTTAATAAAATGTTTCCCTACATTCATTACTTCATGTAGGATTGGAAACCTCTATGCTGAGGGAGAAAATAGCAATCTGAACATTTAAGTAACCCCATTTATTTTTCTGATTGGATTGGCGTATGTTGATTTGTGTTCTGTTCTTCTGGAGAATGGGTCCACGTTTGAGTCCTCTGTAGATACAGCTGTTTCTTTCAAACCCTTTTCTAGAGATGGTGAGGGATGAAGTATCTGTTTATCTTCTGTTCGTAGTTAAATGGTCTCAAAATCAAAGTCATGTCTGAGAATTGAGCAAAAAAATCGTTCTTCCACTGCCTGGAAAGGAGGAAGTAACAGTTTTTGCATTCTGGCATGTATGTGACTTCATATACAAAGTAACATGATTTCTTAACTGTCCTATCAACACAGTAGCTCCTGCGTGCAATAAATTGGGAAAAAATGAGGTTTACATCTTTCAAGCACTAGATTAACAAATACAGGCACAGTGAAAGCTGTAGATGTGGATAATCTAGTATAATCTAGTTAGCCTCTAATTGAAATTAACTTTATTTTGCAACTAAATAAGTGTAGATGAGCTTTTTGAACAGTGTTTAATTTTGGAACTTGTAGTTTGGCTATTGAGCTCTTGTGCTATGTACATTTAGGCTGTTAGGACTTTGAAATTGAAAACACAATTTTCCTAATAATTAATTCATGTGAGTGTGCCAGTCTGTGGACAATTTTATCCCAATTAACTAAGATTAAACGCTTTTCAGGACAATTGCAGTGGATCAAAACCTTCCATGCAGATTCCTGGAGAACAGTGATACTGGAGACTCAAGAAAGAACGTCAGTTTGTAGTCAGTCTTAGACTTAAGTTAGAAAAGGGCTATGAGAGTGGCAAAAAAAAATGAATAGCTTTGGGGATTTGATTGAACCAGGTGTGAAGAAGGGGTAGATGAATAGAAATAAAGCTATAATAGAACCAAAATAGTAATTCCAATTAGAAATAAAATTGATATGCTTTTAAAAGTATTTATATTATCCATCTCTTTTATTCTCTTATCTATAGGAGTTGCTACTCTCCGGGATGCCAGAGATTGACGTGGCTGACTGGAAACGGAATACTGAATACACAAGTGGCTATGAGAAAGATGACCCAGTGATACAGGTATCATTAGTATCAGCTAGAAAAATGGAAAACCTAAAAATCGAATCCATTTGATGTGTTCTTTAATTCTTAGGCATCTTACCTTAATATTCAGGCATCAGTATTATAACAATGCTAGAGCTAAGTCCTGATGGAAATAGCAGGACAAATTTATACAAAGGATGTACACAATGCAAAAAAAACTTTTCAATAATAAACAATGGTAAACAAATAATCAATAAAACGCAAAAGTTTAGTTCACTGATCAAAAAATAATCAAAATTTAATTCCAGAAGCCTTGCAAATCTTTGGTGACATTGTATTTGTACTTTGCCCTGCTGGTTCGTGACATCAACTGAAGTTTTTTGTCTCATGCATTGTCACTCACTTGAGAAAGAATTAAAAATGTTTTTGGTTTTAGAAGAACCAAAGATAACGTTGGATATAGAAATGCATGAACAAATAACTTAACCATGCAATGGTATTTCTGATCTGCTGTAGATTATAGTGAAGTTGAAGTAATTTAGTATTTACTATTATGCATAAATCACTAGAGGTACAAGAATAATTTGACTATATCATAATATTGCAGCCTTGGTTGAATTCTAGTCAACAGTAGTCTGAATATTCAATGTTCTGAGTTACAACATAATATGGTTTAGAACAGAATTAGAGTTAAAAATTTAGCACTTACTCTGATCACCAAGTATCTGAAAGCACTTTATGGGTAATGAACTACTTTTGAAGTGTAGTCACTGTTTAGCAAAGTAGCATTTCTCAATCTGTATTCAAAATATCAAAAATAGGTTTCGTGGTTAGACGATCTGTCAAATGGCCATGCACAACTTTGTGCTCAGCTGTAGACAGACTGTTCTCATTTGTACATACTCATGTGGTAGACTACTGTAGTGTCAACAGTAAATGCTGCTGTCCAGCATCTGTTGGGATAAACAGGTTAATGTTTCAGGCCTGCAGCTTTTTATGAAATCTGGAAAAAGTTACAGTTCCAACAGTTGAAAGTGATAAACGAAAGGGAAGGCCTGTGATTGGATGGAAGACAGGTGTGATTTCAGCCAAAAGCAGAATGTGGTCTATTTGTAACATTTTTGGTTGTATTTCCACATCCAAGGTACTTTGCCTTTGGTATTATGGTGATGTCCTGGTTGTAGTACTGGACTGATAATCTAGAGAACACCAGTTTGAATACCACAACAGTCATTCAAGAATTTGAATCTGGAAGTACATCATAGAATCAGTAAAAATGAGCATGTGAATAATGAGAAATTCTGCACACAAATAATATTTTATATCATTGTTAATCTTTTTTGTTTTTCAAGTGGTTCTGGGAGGTTGTGGAAGCACTAACCCAAGAAGAATGTGTTTTATTATTGCAGTTTGTTACAGGCAGGTAAGATGTTCTCCGATCTGAAGCTATAATGTATTTGAACATCTGCAGATTTGATTTGTATTGTTGGTGCAAAGTGCTACATTATAGTTATTCCTAATGTAATTATTTAAATTGCTGCAAATTAGACTTTAATACAGTGTTTTGTGTTTTACAATTTCGCCAACTGCATCAGAAATTAATTTTATCAGGATAAAGTGGATAGAGATTTGGAGCAGAGGAATATATAGTTGGAGAGAACAGAGCAGTGAGATTAATTTTGGACTGCTGTAGTAAAGAACTGATATGGAAATGATAGGATGAATGGTTTCCTCTTGTGCTGTAAATGTCTGCATTTCTCCCCTGCAGAATAGAATATCCTTTATTGTGACAAGTACCCAAGTACAGGAGTACAATGAAAAGTTGACAATGTCTGCTATCTTAGGTACAAAGTACTGAAGTAGTGATCATAGATACAAAATTCAGAAATAAAGGGAAAAAGAAAGGAACAAAAGTTACATAGCTGTTCATTGTATAAGTTTAAAAAATGAGAATAAAATTAAAAAGATGATGAGCATTAATCTTTCAGTAGATCAGTGCGAGGGCTTCCACATGTGGTCTGCCCAGGCTTGCAAGCTGCTGACCGCTTGCATCCGTCCCCAGTCCAACAACTGTCCCACTCTGTATGGACCTCCCGCCCACTGGCTCTCCCAGCTCTGCTCTGGCCTCCAGCCCACTCTGCAGCATGCCTCCAGCCCTCTCTACCTCAGGAGAGAACACCATGTGGGGAAAAACCGGTAAAAAAAAAGAAGAAAATGGAAAATAAACAGAAGAAGCAGAGGAGAGCTCCATTTGGAGCATCTACTCTGCTGCCACCTTGACCAGTAGGTCTATTATATAGCTCTTACTGTATTTCTCCAGTTGTGTACATCTGGAGATTTGGTACTGGATACCAGGTGAAATGTGGCAATGGGGGATGAAACATAGAATTGTACAGCCCAGGAACAGGCCCTTCATCCCATGATGTTGTGCCAAACATGATGCCAAATTAAACTAATCCCTTCTGCCTGCCCTTGATCCATATCCCTCCATTGCTTGCATATTCACATGCGTAGCTAAAAGTCCCTTAAGTACCCCTATTGTAATTGCCTCTACCACCACCCTGAGCAGCGTGCTCCACCCTCGTGCCACACTCTCTGTAAAAAGACAAAAATTTGCCTGTCAGTTTGAACTTTCCCCCTTCACCTTAAGTGCTTGCCCACCTAGTTTTAGACATTTCAACTCTGGGGAAAAGAATTCTGACTGTCAGCCCTACCTATGCATCAAATAATGTTGGTGATTTCTATCAAGTCTCCCCTCGACTTCCACTGCTCCAGAAAAAACAGCCCAAGTTTTTCTACCTCTCTTCATAGTTCATAACCTCTAATCCAGGCAGCATTCTGGTAAACCTCTTCTGCACCCTCCAAGGCCTCCTCATCCTTCCAGTAATGTGGTGACCATAATTGAATGCAGTCCTCTAAACGTGGCCTAACCAAAGTCTTTTAAATCTGTGACATGACATCCTGAGTCTTGTACTCTATTCCCTGACCAATAAAGGCAAGCATGTCATACACCTTTGCCATCTTATCTACTTGCATGGTCACTTTCAGGATCTGTGGACTTGAACCCCAAGATCCCTCTGCGCATCAATGCTGTTCACGGTCAACCTTCTACGCTATCCACAACTCCACCGATCTTTGTATTGTCTGCAAACTTACTAACTCACCCATCTACATTTTCATCCAAGTTATTTACAAATATCACAAACAGCAGAGGTCTCAGTATGGATCCCTGTTTAACATAACTAGTCATGGACCTCCAGCCTAAAAAAACATTCCACCACTGCCTCTCTGCCTTCTGTGGGCAAGCCAATTCTGAACCCACGCAGCCAAGTCACCGTGGATCCTATGCATCTGAATCTTTTAGATGAGCCTACCATGAAGTACCTTGTCGAAAGCCTTATTAAATTCCATGTAGACAACTTCCACCCTCATCGATCACTTTTGTCATCTTGAAAAATTCAATTGTTGGTAAGATGTGACCTGCCCTGCACAAAGCCATGCTGACTGACCCTAATTAGGCCATGTTTTACCAAATATGCATAAACCCTGTTCTGAAGAATTTGCTCCCAATAGCTTCCCAACCACCGATTTGAGACTCACTAGTCTATAGCTTCCCGGATTATCCCTATTTCCCTTCTTGACTAGAGGAACAACATTAGCTACTCGCCAGCCCTCTGGGACCTGTCCAGTGGCTAATGAGGATAGAAAGATCTTGGTCAAGGCCTCACTAATCTCGTCTCTTGCCCCTCTCCATACCCTACGGTAGATAGCTTTGGGGCCTGGGGACTTATCCACCTTTAATACTCTTCAAGAGACCCAACACCACTTCTTTCTTAATCTCAAAATGCTCAAGCATATTAGCATGTTCCACACAAATCTCATCATCCTCCATATCCTTTTCCTGGGTGGATACTGACACAAAGTACTCATTTAGGATCTCATCCGCATCCTCTGCCTCCAAGCACAAGTTCCATCCTTTATCCTTGAATGTTCCTGTCTTCTCCCGACTTATCCTGTTGTTTTTAATGTATTGAGAGAATGCCTTGGGATTCTCTTTAACCTTACTTGCCAAATTCATTTCATGACCCCTTCTTGCTTTCCTAATTCCCTGCTTGAGTTGTTAGCTGCTTTCTTTATATTCCTCACGGGCCCTATTCAGCTTCCTAAACCTTACGTATGCTTCTTTTTTTTTCCCTTTTGACTAAATTCATAACCTCTCATTATCCAAGGGTCCCTTACCGTGCCGTCCTTATCCTTCCTCCTTACTGGAACATTATGGTCCTGAACACCCATTAGCAGGTCTTTAAACAATTCCCACATGTTAAATAAAAGCCGAACGAACTGCGGATGCTGTCAATCAGGAACAAAAACAGAAGTTGCTGGAAAAGCTCAGCAGGTCTGGCAGCATCTGTGGAGAAAAAAATCAGAGTTAACATTTTGCATCCAGTGACCCTTGCTCAGAGGAAGTTCTGAGGAAGAGTCACCAGACCTGAAACGTTAACTCTGATTTTTTTTTTTTTCTCCACAGATGCTGCCAGACCTGCTGAGCTTTTCCAGCAGCTTCTGTTTTTGTTCCCACATGTCAAATGTGGACTTGCCTGATAACAGCACCTCCTAATTAACAGTCCCTAGCTCCTGCCTAATACTGATGCAATTTGCCCTCCCCCAATTTAGTACCTTGCCACAAGGTCCTGACTTATCCCTCTTCATAGCCATCTTAAAATTTAAGGAGTTAGAGACAAAAAAAATCTGTAAATGCTGGAATCCACAGTACACAAACAGGAGCCTGGAAGAACATGGCAGCCAGGCAACATCTGGAGGAAAGGAGAAGACAACTTAAGGAGTAGTGATCACTGTTACCAAAATGCTCTCCCACTGAATGGTCAGTCACCTGGCCAGGCTCATTAGCCAGTACAGGGTCCAGTATGTCTTCCCCCGCCCCAGTTGGGCTATCCTCATACTGTTTCACGAAGCCCTCTTGGATGCACATAACAAATTCTGCCCTGTCTAAGCCTCATGCTTTAAGGGAGTCCTGGTCAATATTGGGGAAGTTCAAGTCACTCACAATGACAACCCAGTTGTTAATGCATCTTTCTATAATCTACATATTTGTTCCTCAATGTCTTGGTGGCTGTTGTGAGGCCTATAGTATAATCCTATCAGTGATTGCACCCATCTTATTTTTGAGCTGTACTCATATTATCTCAGTGGGTGAGCCCTCCAGTATGTTCTCCCTGATTGGTAATGCAACTCCTCCACCTTTTCACCTTCCTCTATCTTGTGTAAAACCCTGGATGATTGAGCAGCCAGTCCTATCCCCCTCTCAACCAAGTCTCTGTAATGGCCACAACATCATCGTCCTACGTACTGATCCAGGCTTTAAACTCCTCTCCCTTACCTAGAATACTCACTCCTTGCATTGAAATAAACACTCTTCAGCCCATTAGTATCATTTGTGTTTATTTACCTGTCTCTGCCTGTCCTTCCTTTCTGATTTACTGGTCCTGACATGTACCTTCCCCTCAATTCCTCCACTTGCTGACCTATTGCTCTGGTTCCCAGCCCCTGCTACTCTAGTTTAAACTCTCCCGAATAGCACTAGCGAACCTCCCTGCAAGGATATTGGTTCCCCTCCAGTTTACTTGCAATCCATTCCTCCTGTACAGGTCACCCCTGTCCCAGAAGAGGTCCCAATGATTCAAGAACCTGAAACCCTGCCCTCTGCACTAGATCCTTAGCCATGCATTCATTTCTCCTATCTTTCTATTCCGTGCCTCACCAGCACATGGTACTGGTAGTAACCCAGAGATTACTACCCTCCAGGTCCTGTTTTTTAACTCTTTCTTAACTCCCTATGCTCACTCCACAGGACCTCATCCCTCTTTCTACTTATGTTGTTGGTACCAATGTGCACCACAGCCTCTAGCTGCTCACCTTCCTTCTTAAGAATTTTCTGCAATTGCTCAGAGATATCCTTGACCCTGGCACCAGAGAGGCAACACACCATCCTGGAGTCTCGAACACAGCCACAGAAATGCCTGTCTGTGCCCCTAACTAGTGAGTTTCCTACCACTGTCACTCGCTTGGATCTTACCTAGCCCTGCTCTACAGCAGAGTCCATTGTGGTGCCACAGCCCTGGCTGCTGCTGTTATACTCCCCTGTGTCCCAGCAGTATCCGAAATAGTATACCTGTTAGAGGGGAATAGCCGGAGGAGACTCCTGCAGTACCTGCCTGCCTCTCGTGGCAACCACCCATCGACCTGACTGAACCTGTGGTGTCACCATTTCTCTGTAACTAGTGTCTATCACACTCTCTCTGTCCCCTGTATGCTCCCTTGTGTGTCCAACAGCCGCTCCAACTGAATGATGTGGTCTAAGGAACTGCAACTGGTCACACTTCCTGCAGGCATAGTGGCCAGGGACACTAGACTGCTCCCTAATCTCCCACATCTGGCAGGAGGAGCAGACCACTGCCCTAACTGCTATCTCTGCCCCTTTACAGTAAGGAAGATTTAAAAAAAAAACATACCTTGCTTGCCTTACTCACTGAAGCCCAGTATTCAACTAAGCCCACCCTTGTACCAACTAGCAGCACTAACTGGTTACTTAAATTACAATGCAATTTTTACAAACAGATCAAACACCCTCTAGGCTACAACAAACTTCCTATCAGCTTGTCTCAATCTCTCTCTCTCCTCCTCCTATTTTTTGGTTAGAGGAGGTGGGAAGGATGGAAACACTACAGTGTTGTAATGCTTGGGGCTCACCGTTCCTTGACACCTGGTTCTTCCTCACTCCGCTGATTAGTCATGGTGACTGAGCCGACTTCTCCCAGAATGCTCCCTGCCGAAGTCTCTCTGCCATTCTCTATTGGATGTTTACTTGTATCGTTACAGTTGGATTAAATTTAGCATTTTTAAAATTTATTTATATAGCACCTTTAACACAGTAAAACAACCCAAAGTATATCACTGGAGTATTAATAATCAAAATTTGCTGCTGAGGATCATGAGATTGTAAGATGGAAGACCAGAAGCTGGCACAATGCGATTAGTTTCAAGAAGCACCGTAAAGGAAGAAATGGTGGAGAGATTTAGGGAAATAATTCTAGGGCTTCAGGCCTAGACAGCTAAACACATGGCAGCAATGGCACAGTGATCAAAAATCAGTAATTTTTTTTTGCCTAGTAAGGGGAAGAAGTCTTGTTGAAGCTAATTTATTATGAGTAACAGCATTAGAAGCCCATTTAGTTAAGAAGCTTTAACTGGGAAAGATGATGTTCGAATTATCAGGATTGTTTTATAATTTCAGAAGGCTTTCACTAAACTTCTTTTCGGTGTCCTTTAATATTTCTGTTGGAGTGAAAAGCTATTGTCCTATCTTTGGTATTGACTTTGAGATAACAGTGTGGAGTTGGAGGAACGCACCAGGCTGGGCAGCATTTGAGGAGCAGGAAAGTTGACGTTTCGTGTCGGGACCCTTTTCTTTCTTCTGCAGAAGGGTCCCGACCTGAAAACGGCAACTTTCCTGCACCTCTGATGCTGCCTGGCCTGCTGTGTTCCTCCAGCTCCACACTGTTATTTCTGACTCCAGCATTGACAGTTCTTAATATCGCTGTTGACTTTGAAACCTATATTTGGAAATTGAAAGGATAGAGCTCATCACTGTTCACAGTAATAAGGATAATGAAAGTTGACACTCTAAATTGAAGTGACATGTTTATATTAATTTGTTGTATTCTTGAATGCTCTGTTATGACAGTGTTCGGCATTTATTTACTGAAAATATTGATGAATTTCTATGTTTGTATTCTCAAAGCTCTAGAGTCCCTCACGGTGGCTTCGCATATCTCATGGGTGGCAGTGGTTTGCAGAAATTCACAATAGCTGCTGTACCGTACACTTCAAACCTCTTGCCAACATCCAGTACCTGGTATGTAAGTTCACATGTAAGACAAAACATAGCAGGCATTTATGTAAACTGAGGTGAGGCAAAGCAAAGACTTTCTTTAATTTCATCTGTTATAAAATGAAATATAGAAATACCTTATGCAGTTTCATCAAATGTTTTGACTTTCATAAGATTTCAGCCTTTAAAATACTATGAAGGAAGATAAATGCAAACAACAGAACTAATGCAAATGTCGTAGATCCACATCACAAAGTAGTGAATAATATACTGGAAGTGTTCAAAATTTTCTGGTCGTGCAGCAATGTCTGCAGCAAAACCACCTTCCAAGTTCCATCAGGAAATGAAACATTCAACTGTATTTGCATTTAGTTGGCAGTTTTAGCATCCTTTAAACATGTTTCTATCTACTTTGAGTAATCGAAGTATTTATTGGCCATGTCAACTGTCACATGGCCAAAGCAGTCAATAGATATTTATTCCAAATGCAAAAGTTATTTATATTTATGGTATCTGTAGAGTGCAGATTATTTAAATATTTTGGTTTATTTGGTTCAGGGTAGAATGTTTTAGGATATGTAGATCATGCCATTCAGTCAGTTCTTGCAAGTTTAAGTTGGAATCCTGAACTTTTTTGAGATATTTCAGGGAATTGTAGACACCTTTTACAACTTTGTGCATGATTCTCACTTGGGTGAGATAATCAGAGAGCAATTTTGGAACTGAAAATAGAAAAGAAGCATTTGGAGAGAATGAACAGAATTTCGTTTATATATATTTAGTTATATAAAATAATAATATATCTATAAATATTTTATTTTATATAGTAAAATATTAGTACTTTATATAAAAAAAAACTAAAGTACTAACATTTTACTCTTTTTAAATTAATAAACCAGCTTGCCATCTTTCGGCATGTGGACGTATGCAAATTGCAAGCAAAACAATGCAGCAATATATTGATCAAACATTGGCTTTTTGAATCAAGGGTTTTAGGGATAGTTTTCTAAATTTGCATGACTCTAAGGAGCATCTTCCACCATTTGAGCATTCCATAAATTTTGAGTACTGTCTGCACGTTTTTGATAAAAAGTAATGACTAGACATTTGGCTCATTTTGTGACTTGACTTCCTTCATTGTTATGGTATAGCATGGCTAAGACTTCTTAACATGCATACATTCTATAACTTACATGCTTACTTTGTATTGTGTTTTGTTAGATTAATTGGTCTAAATTAGTTCTTTTACAGATTAATGTATTGTGACTTGTAATAATGATGCTTACAGTACCTCAATGTTTTTCAGCATCAATATGTTAAAATTGCCAGAATATCCCAGCAAAGAGAACCTGAAGGATCGAATTCTTGTTGCATTACACTGTGGGAGCTATGGTTACACAATGGCATAAAGAAGGCTGAAAGTTGAAAATGGCTCCTGAAGAGACCTTCACTGCTTAAATGTTTTGAGTAATGCTTCTGATTTTGAAGAACTCTCCCTAGGTTCATATGCAAATTTCTGTGGTAGCACATCTGTATATGCATGTTAATATTCGTGTAAAGCATTATGCCTGTGTGTGTACTTTGGCGATCTACGTTTTTTTAAAGATGTTATGTTTTGGTACAACTAATTATGTATTTGTGATGAACTGTAGAAATTTTGCTGCACATTGCCAAACATTTGGCATTATGAAATCAAAAGTGCCATGCCTGCAGGTGTACTCTGTACGCTTTAATCGGTGGCTAGGGTATACAAGTTCTATTGCCAAGCTTCATACATTAATGATAGGGAAGAAAAAATGAGAGAAAGTCAAGATCTCATTGTATTTTTTGTAAGATAGGTATCAGACATTTTATATTTTTTGTGAAGATATAAAGTTTAGTTTATTACTCAGACTTCACAATTTAACATCATTGAAATGGAGGGTATTGTCAGTCAAAATTACAGAATATATAGTATAGTCTACCCTAACAGCCAAATTACTTTGCAGAATTTCCTCAATGCAATATCAGCTATTTAGTGATTAAAGTTTCATATTAAGTATTTGTACATTGTGAAAATTATGCATTGTATATATTGCTTGAAGTCCTGTATATTTGTATTTGTAGGATATGATGCAGATGCTCATGTATCTTCCTGTTGTGCATGTCTTTTTTAAACTATTAAATTTTTTAAAGAATTAAGTCTTTTTTTACTTAATGCAAGCAAGATAATATTACTGTGATAGTCTATAATATATTAGAATCAAGTCATAAAGCCTGTTGTCGAGTGGCATCTGCTCTGGGGCTCCCTCTCAATTTATTTGCTTCTCCATCTTTTGTAATTAAGAACACAGGGTCAGATTACCAAATGATTTTTGTTTGTTAGATTATTAACTAATCATGATGATTGAATTTAATGTTAAGTTTGGAAAGAGAAATATAACAGCGTAACCACGATTGTAGATTTGGATTAACAGATGACCGCATACCGGTCAATTGCAGTGTAGTAAAATTATAGGTGAACAGTGGGAGTTCAAATAAAGGCATGAAACTTTAATAGAACTGATATATATCCCTACGGAGTAAAATGTCTCCTCCCCAAAAGAAACAACCATGCTTGACAAATGAAGTGTGATGAGATTAAACTAAAGGAAAAAGCAAAGAGAATAAATCCAGAGACAAGGATAAATGTGAAGAATAGCCTTGGAAGACAAAAGGTGTAAAAAAAGAAATATAAATAAAAATGAGTATATCATGGCTCAAGTGTATGGTTGAAGAACAATAATAGATGGTTTGATGATCTTTTTAAAACATTTGCAGGTTACCTTGCAAATGAAAACGAGGAAACAGTAGTTGAATGATTACTTTGTGCTAGTCTTCACAGAAGAGGATAAGATAGCAGATATGTTAAGAAAACTAATCACAAAGTAATAACTCGCCAAAATTCAAGTAAAGAAGGAAAACGATGAGGACACAATAATGCCACCAGAGACTGTCAAATCCACAGGACCTGATGGTTTTAAAGGAATGGCAATTTCAAATATTTCAATTGCAGCTTTCCAAAGCATGCTTGATCCCATAAGATTGAAAATTTGGAAAATGTGACTGTTATTTAAGGTGACAGCAAGAATCCAGTAAGATGTTTGAATCTATAAGAGCAAATTGACTAAGCATATGGAGAAATTGGAGTGGATTAAAGAGAGCCAATAAAAATTTCTAAAGAGTAAGGCATGCCTAACAAATAATAGAGAAATTTTGAGAAAATTACTAAACCGTAAATAAAAGGACCAAAGTAAGGGTTGAGCTTAAAGTTTTTGGGAAGACTTGTAGCCCATGTTGGATGGAGTTGTTGATTTGTTCACCGAGCTGGTAGATGTTTCGTCACCATACCAGGTAACATCAGTGTGCCTCTGTAGAAGCGTTGTCGGTCTGTCCTGCTTGTTATTATGATGCAGAGAATTTTTTAAATTTTACTGAGAGGGTTATGAACCTTTGCAATTCTATACGGCAGAGGTCCATGGATGCTCAGCCTTTGTTAGAAATTGATTTATAGAATTCGATGATGGAGTAAATTATGGAATAGGTGAGTCATTGAAGTGTTTGCCCAGCCGTGAATGAATTAAATGGCATGATAGACTTGACAGACTGAAATGTCTAATCCTGTTCCGAAGATCCTAGTAGATAAGAGAGAGTCCTTGGGGCTAATTTATGACTTTCAGAAGGTACTTAATAAGGTTCCACATTGATAGTTTCCGATGCTTATGAGAAAATTTTTATTCTTAATGTCGAGGAAAGAATATCTAGTTTTTTCCTTGAGGTTCCAATGATGAGATTATTACTTTATTTCCATACATTTTTGCCTCATTAATACCCCAACTGACCTCATTTAAATGCCACTCGCAATTTTCTTCTCTCGAAATTAGATGATAATTCGCAACTTGAAAGAGTAGTTACTGTGGCAGCTCACTACTTGCTTCTCTGGCTTCCATTCACCAGTATCTCATTGTGTATCCCATGGACATCCTCTTCTATCCTGTGTTCACCTGAAGTTGGCATCAGCATATAATCTTCGTCATCACGTTCGCATGGCTGAGCTCAGTCTGACTCAAAATCCACTTCAGTCCTTCAGAACTTTACTTTGGAGCTCACTGACCCCTTTCACTTTCAGGCTCTTGCCACGTTGCTTTGCATACTGGGATGCAGCCAACTCTCGCATCTTTTGGATTGTGACTTCGTTTCTCAGTGCTGATTTATATCACACTGGGAGGTTAAACACCTCTATGGATTGCATTGCATTTTAGCCAGAAGAGTGAGTTGTTGTAAAGAATGAGGTGGGTGACAATTTTTGAGTGTAAATGCTGCCTCAAATAAGGAAGTTGATGGTTCGTGAGTATGGGGAGGTTTGTGCAGGGTAAAAGAGAGAACATAATGGCAGTGCAGAAGATCATTGACTTATTTCCTACACTGCTGTGCATTCCATCTGACCCTGGAAGCGGCAGTGACCCGACCTGCTATTTGTGGCCAGGTTGGCTGTGTTTGGTGCCTTGTACTTTCTCGTGGTCTGCCAGTTATAGGATTACCTTCTTCTCAACCACTCCGTCCACAGGACCTCCATGATATGGCATCTGCCATCAAAAATAATATTCTAAAAGTGGGAAAACCCTGTTGATTACAGTCTTTGCCATCACAGGCAAATTGATGTGGTTAGCAGAAGGTTATAGAGTTGAAATAATTGATAATGAGCTTGAATTAGAAAGATGTGATTTGTATATCCAATAATGAATGATAGAGTTGGGTGTCAAAGATTGTATTTTTTAATCAATGGCTTGTGACTGTCTGTAGAGTGAACCAATAAACTGATGATGCGAATAGGTGGCAGCATAATAAGTCACGCTGATTTTAGTATAAAATTAAAGACAAACCTATTGGGATGGATTTCCGTGCAAAAAAATTTGGGGCCATACACTTTGAATAATTTTTAAAATGATGAAAATCAAGGAATGGTAGCGGTGCAAAGAGATTTAACGGCATGTGCATACAGGCCATGAAAATCTAATTGACAAGAAAGGCTGAAGGAACATGAGCCTCATGTTTGGGGAGCAGGAACATAAAGGAGGAAATATGTTTCAGCTGTTTTTTCAAAAACAAAACAAATCTGGTTGGACCAAATTTGAAATACTGTGTGCAGTTCTGGGCACTGCACCTTATTGAGGATAATATCGGCCTCGGTAGGAATGCTGCACCAATTCAACAAAATATTACAAGTGCTATGCAAGTTAAATTATAAAACAAAAACTAGCTCCACGTTACCTGAAATATTGAGATTTTTAGAATTTTGAAAGAGAAATGCTTTCAGTTGTTGGGACAGCGTAGGATAACACAGCAGGCCTTTCAGGAGAGAAAGGTTGGGGAAAATTTCTTTGTAAAAAGGGTGATAAAAATGCATACTCCTTGCACAAAAAATACTGTGCCAGCTTGATAAATAAACTGAACTTGAAGTTGTTCGGTTGTTCCTAGCCATGAATAATGAAGGATATACAGCCAAGACAAGTAATTGGATTTAGAATACAGATACGTTGTACCCTTATTCCTATGCTCCTAATACTTCTCAAATTCTCATCTTATCTTTCAGACAACTTTTACCCACACTATTTTCTCTATGCTCATTTTTGTGGCCCCTCAAGGTATTCTTTTATGTTCAAGATGCTATATAAAGGTGAATTATTTTTAGAAGTTGAAATTGCAACATTATGGACAATGTGTAGCGTATAAACATTGAGCTGTCACAACAAAGGCACAGATTGTAATCCCGTGCTGTATTAAGAAATCTGGTAATCCACTTTACCAATAAGTATACAACGAAATAGAAAAGACTAGAAATTTACAGAAAACAGTGTCAAAATCTAATCATAGTACCTGTGTTTATTGCATTAAATCTCTAATTCACTGTCAGCGAATTCTTTGATAAGCCACAAATATTCACTTGGTGTGTTGTTCTGCTTTCTCAGATAATATGTCATGATTCAAAACTTGCTTCCCAAAAAGAAATCTCAGCATTTTATTTGGTTCAGAGTCAATCTTGTTGTAGGATGAGTCGAAATAATTGGAAACCCCAAAGGGACAAAGCTATCTGAAGATTGGAATTAATTTCCCAATGCTGGTATCATTTTAGTGTGAAATATTCATCAATTGGGATGAAGTTCATTTTTAGTGGTGCAAATTGAGGATTGATGGAATGTCTATTTGTTGGATGCTCTGCTTGTTATCTTCTTAAAGAATTTAACTAAATTTGATAGACATGATTTCTCCTTCATGAAGTCATGCTGACTCTGCTTGATTATATTATGTAGTTTTAAATGGTTGCCTTCTGTGTATTGCTGACCAGAACAGCCATTAGTCTGTGGATCTCTTTCTGTCCAAAACTCGATACCAAAAATCTATCCCCAGGTAGCATAACTGCTCTTAACCTCATTTACAGGTGTGAACCTTTTGCACTTTGCTCCCAATAAGCCTCTCAATCCTCCTCTTGCCTTCAATTTACCTTCAATTACACATATATGGATCCAAATGGGTTAATATTGAAGACTGTCATTAGCAGCAACCTCTATGAAGGTGTGATACGGACTTGGTGAGCACACCAGCTCAGGATCTCAAAAGACAGTGTCCTAACATGGTGCTCCTCAAAGTCTATCAGTTCAATGTAGCCTGTAACAAGTTGCTAACATGCAATGTTGTTCAATACAAAAGTATTTTCTAGGAAGTGATTTTCTTCTACCATATTAAACCAAGCTTGGCACTACAGATGTTGCCTACAGAAACAGAGGAAGCATAAGTAGGTCATTTTCTGGTTGGTAAGATGTAATGGATGGTGTACCTCAAAAATCGGAACTGTTCACAATCTCAATAACTTTGAAGAGACCAAATGAATGGTTAATAAATTTGCTGATTGTGCAAAGATTTGTTTGAAACTAAGTTGTGAAGAAGACGTGAGTCTGCAACAAGATTTTGATAGGTTAGTTGAGTGGACGAATGATTAGTACAGAATAATGTAAGAAAATGTGAACCTGTTCACTTTGACAGGAAGAATAAAAAGTGGCATATTATTTAAATGGAGGGAGATCACTGGACTCGTAAGGTATAGAGGTATGTGACTGTCTTGTATGAGAATCAGTTTGCATAGAAGCAAATGGAATGTTGATGCT